TTATAGAGACACAACAGGATTCACTATCTGACATATGGAAGCTTTAGATAAATGTGCTTTCTGCCACTGAGAGAATTATAGAGGATCAGACTTGTTGGTTGTTTTGTGACAAATCTGTAATAAATAATGCACAGTGTGTCTCTGTTGTCGCTGAGTGTTTGTGAAGCAGCAGCGACTGTGTAAGAATGTTTCCTAGATTCAGCTGATGTTCCTGTGATGTCCTGACAGACCTGAGGAGGAGGCTGTGATACAGTGTGCAGTAACAGTCACAGGAGGATGCAGACGCTCTCATCCATTCTCTCTGCACACTTATTCCCATTCAGACTCCACTTTCACGCTTTATTTCCCGCTGCTTCTGCCGCTGCTGGAGAGCTTTATCCTGTTTGCTCCACAAATTGCATTTTCACTTTGATTTATTGTATTTTTCAAACTTTTTAACTCAAGTAAAAACTCTGTGTTGATTTGTTCTCCTCCACATGATCAATTCTGTACTCTGGGAGTCTTTCTGTTTGTGGATCTGCTCCCAACAGAAACAACAGGAAGACAGGAGTTTGCTGTACGATGGTAATTAGAGCAGCAGGGTTCTCGCTAACATTAGCAGCTCATCAACTAACTCCAGAACCCAGACTGAAGTCCTCTACACACTGAGGGATGTGTTTAATTATAAGATTTGTTGTATAAAAGGAGACAGAGTCGTTCTCACTTTAAAGCAGATTGGACATATTGGGTCCAAGGTGTGAAGAACAAGGAGTTTCTCCTGCTGATGAAGGAGCTGTTTGCTCCTGCTGGAGGTTCCAGGTGCTCCTGGGAAACCTGGACATTTAGAGACTAGTTTTATAGTCATGAAAAGACCTTGAAATGTAATCAAATATCCTGGAAATTATCTGTGTTTTCCTGGAAAGTTTGTATTTTAGCCGCTTACATCATTATGTAAACCTGGGTGTGTATTTAGTTTGAATTAGTTTGGATAAACTGAGACAGTTCAAAGCAGGTTTACCAGACGCACCAGGGGTCGGCAAAGCTTCCCATTGATTGATGATTTTAATGGGTGTAAGAAAATGTGAAAAATATACAAAATAAAGTCCAGATATCTCATCATCTTGCATTATAAAGGTTTGCAGATATAACACAAAAAGAGCTAATAAACATTAAGTGTGAAGAAAACACTGAATCTGTCAAAAAAAGAAGCTTATTAAGTTTGACTGTTAAAAACAAATAAAACTCATCTCTGTATAATCAAACTTCCTGCAGTTACTGAGTTACTGTTTGGTTCATTGTTCAGTTTATCAGCTGTTCTCTGCTCTTATTGATACTGATCAATATGAAACATACTGATAATATGTACTTTAGTTCAGGGTCGGCTGTGTAATCAATGAAAGACAAAGCAGAAGAGGAAAATGCTCTGTTTCCACACAACCTGCAGCCAAATGCCCTGAAAAATGATTTCTTAAACTTTGAACCCTGACTGGGCTGATTTGTCCTCATCTGACGGCTGCGAAGAAACGCAGAAAATCGAACCTGTTCTGAAAACTTCAATGAAGGTTTTGGAGTCGGTGTGAACATTTGATGCAACCGGGCGATCGAATATGATTAACAGAACAAATATGGATTGAAGCTGACGTAGAGCTCTTGCTGTTGCTCTGTATTGGCTGAGGAGGGAATATAAAGGGGGGAACATCACAATCTCGTCTGTGAGTCTGGACTCTTTTACAAAAAAGCACAAAGCAGGAGACCAACCAGAAACAGAGAGTCTGTCTCTGCTGAGTTTCTTCCAATAAATCAAACATTTAGTGCTCTGTAGTGTAGGAGACACACACACAGTAAGGTGGTCCTTTAGTAAGAACATTAAAACCACTGTGAAGATAGATTATGAGCATAATCTGCTCACAGTATCAGCAGTAAAATGTTCCCCCTCAGGGTTTTATCTGACAAAGTCACTGCTGCATTAATGTGTGAATAAGGTTGAGCTTTGAACTGTTTGTGTAGTTTATTTTCCAGCTGTGACTGTCTGGAGAAATAACTTCCCAGAGACACTTGTCTGTTGTGCTTGTGTCTGTAGTTGACGGGCAGTACCGCTGGCTCCATTGGAGACCCAGACTCTTCCTCTGGCTGGTGCTGAAGATCAAAGTCCAGTCCCTCGCCTGTCTGTGGCAGAATTCTCTGAGCAGGGAACTGATGAAACCCAGGAACAAGGAGGTGGCGTCTCTACTGGAGAGCTCAGGTCTCCACAGGTTGCAGAGAGGATGGTAATGTTCTACCTGCGTCCTCCATAACGTCCTGCACTGGAAGACTAACAGAGACCAGGATGAAGTTTTCCTCTGTTGCTGAATGCCTGGAACCAGTTCATCATTCAACTGAATCTGGTTATCTGGGACTGGATGGACCTCCAAAGTCCAGGATGTGTATGTGTTCCTCATTGTGTTCACTGTGTACAGCTGAGGTCCCAGCAGTCTCCCCTGTGGGATCATGGTCTGGTCCATCCCATTATGTCCTGTATATACTGTCGTCACCTGTCAGTAACGTTCACTTGCAAAGCTAACTTCAGTCTGTGTTTTATTTGTGTTGGAGCGGCATTTTAACTCACACTGAAGTTCTTCATCAGAAGCTTCCGAATGTACAATTTTAACAAATTAAAGACAATGATGGTATCAGTGTGATTTGTACTTACTTTTACCTTCAAGTGACGTCTGAGGTATCAACAAACTTCCAACTAATGCAGAAAGTCACAAAACAAATGACAGTTTGTCATTCTCTTGCATTAAAGGGATAAAGCAGATGGTATTTAACCGTCAGTCAGTCGCACACTGAGCTTTAATGCTACGCTAACAACGTTCAGTCACACCGCAGGATGTCTGGAAGCCGCAAACACAGGCAACTTCGTCTGAAGTTTCAAACCCGCGGCTCTATTCACAGTCCTGACACACGTTATCGCTGTGTGTTCATTAACCACAGCTCGTACAGCTTTTAAAAAACAGTTTAAAGCTTTTTCTCCTGGATGAAGCTCTGACAGCTGTCTGTGCTTTAAATCTCTCCTTCCAACAGGTTCCATTAACGAGATTTACACGTTCATATTTGTGGATTTGTTTTTATTTTAACGATCCATTCAGTAGTGAGCGTTTGATCATCACTCGTCTTCCTCAGCCCGGTTGTCTTCCGTCAGGTCCCGGTGGCCAGCAGCTAACAGTGTGCTAGAGATACTTTCAGTAAATGTTACTGTAATACTTTGACCTCAGTGAGGTTTATAACGCAGTATTGGTACTGCAGTATTTTCACAGTGGGGTTGGGACCTGAATACTTCCTCCACCCACATCAACCCCCCCAGGAAGACACACAGAGGCTGACCTGTGTAATTACAGCCCTGTATGTGTCGGTGGAACTGTTTCCTCAGTTTTCATGTGCAGCCTGGTTTCAGAGAAAACTGTGTCAACATGTTTTCATCGGCCAGTGAATAGAATAAATAATGGATCAATAATTATTTATTTAAATAATGGCTGTGTAATGATCGGCTGATCCAGGAAACATGTAGAGACTCAGATTGTAGGGTTGCACTCAGGCACTGGATAACAAACAGTGTCTTCCCTTTTAATGAGCCGCTGGCTGAAATGACCCAAATATGACTATTATATTATTATTTTATTATAAAGAACTCATTTATAATCAATCAGGAGGTATTTTTAAAATATTGGCCCCTACATGCACTCAGTATTACATAATGATATCTTTATACATTCTCTGTATTCTGTATTTTTATCATTCTAACAAGCAGACAGACTCACGCTCGAGGCTGTGAACATACACTGTGTTCAGCTCTTCAAAGCAGAAAAATATACACAGTAGGTCGATATATATCCGCAGTTTGAAGAAAACTAAATGAAAATGTTGTTTCCAACCAGTGTGTGTGTTTATTTATTATTGTATCATTCTGTTTTCTTGTTGAATTATTGGTTTTATTCTTATTATTCTTGTCTTTTCTGTCTGTGAAGTCTTTGTTGTTCTATACGTTATTATTTTGAGAAAAACAATAAAAAGTGAATCAGAGAAAAGAAAGTGTCTGTGAGGTTGTAAGACTTTTGTGATAAAAGAAGATCAGATAGACTTTATTGATCCCACACCGGGGGGGCGGCTCCAGAAACAACACAACAGATTAGAAAAGACACATTAAATAGAATAGAAGAAGAAATATGAGAGTTATATGTTTATATATACAGCTTTTTATATACATACAGATGAGACTGCGAGGGAGCTGCAATCTATATTTCTTAAAGGACCAGTATGAAGGATTTAGTGGTGAAGTTTCAGATTGCAACCACTTGCGTCAGTATCTGATGAGTTGGGAATATGAACGGCTGTGAAGTGTGGAGGAGTAATAAAACATGTTATTATATTATTATATAATATATGAATATTGCACTTTGAGAGTCCTGTTCTACAAAAACACAGTGATTATTATATTCTGGTGATTATACATTAATGAAAACATACTTATAAATATTAGATGATATTTCTGACAATAGATCCTCCTCATTTTTTTGGGGGGAGTTTTTTTCAACGTTTTCCACAACATTACAGTTTCTGTACATCTTTTATTCATGTTTTTTATTTATTTATTTTGTATTTCTTTACGCATTTTGTTTCCGTTCAAACTGTTAAATAAAGCTTTTAGTTTTTTTCAAGCGGAAGCCAGAGAGGCGGAACTCATATGAGCGAGAGAAAGTTCCACTCGGACGTATTTTCACGCTGAACGGCAGCTTCCGGCCGATGAGTATCTCTCTCCAGCTGAAACTGTTTGTTTTTGAATCTTTGACGGTTTTTTTTTTGTACCGTTTTTCCACCGAAGCTCCGGTACAAGTTGTTGTAACGGAACCGAACACCGAGCTAACGGCGGACTCCGGACGGTTCGCGCTGTTTGTGGAAGCTCCCGTTAGCACCGACGCTAGCCGGCCCTCCGCTGAAGCCTCCGCCGGGCGGAAGTCGCTCGCCGTCGGATTCGCTCCGGTTCTTTCTCGCCGCTATAACGGAGAAGCTCAACGTTTCATGCGTGCGCCGGAGCCGGTTCGGACATTTTAATGGGAGGCGGCTCGCGGTGGAGGACTGGACGCTGCCAGCTGCGAAGAAAGAAGCGGAGGTCGTGGCTCCCTGCCGGGCCCAGATGGACTCTCTGGCCGGGTACGTGTACAAGGCGGCCAGCGAGGGTCGAGTCCTGACCCTGGCCGCGCTGCTGCTCAACCACTCCGAACCCGAGACCCGGTACCTGCTGGCCTACGTGACCCAGCTGGCCGGGCAGAGGTCCACTCCCCTCATCATCGCGGCCCGGAACGGACACGACAAAGTGGTCCGGCTGCTGCTGGACCACTACAGGGTGGACACGGAACAGACCGGCACGGTCCGGTTCGACGGGTGAGAGCTCCAGTGTTCCTGTTTATCGATCCGCTATCAGGTTATTAAGATCCTGTTTTCAGGCTCCAGAGGGATTAATTATCAGTGTTGGATAGTAAAGAATATATTACTCATTATCTAAAGTAACTGATTACTCCCTGTCAGCAGCAGCTAGTTACTTTACTAACGTTAGTTACATTACTAGTTACATTACTTTGCTGATATCATTTCCCCCCAAACTTCAGACGATTTAAATGCAGTTTGTATTAAAGTAGTCTGGCAGTGTTTCTGCGGTTTCCTTTTGTTAAATAATAGTTTGTAATCCGATATTTATATTTGTTAAAGGAAGTCCAGTTGAACAGAAACCAGCTCCTCTCTGGAACCGGTCCGTCCAGCCGACCCACTGACGTCACACACTCATTATAATACATTACAACGTCAGCAGAAATGTGTCGATCCTTTTATAGATTTTACTTTTCTGACTTATTTAAATTCAGTTTCTCTCAATAAAAACCCTCGTGTGTTAGTTTCTGTACACATTACTCACATATACCAGCTCCAGATAGCAACTCCCTCGCTTCACCCTCGCTTCACCCTCACCCCAGAGCCCAAAGAACAACTGACTGAACAGAGTAATGAAATCAGACCTGTGACGACACTGCAACAGAGTTAATCTGAAGGAAACTTTAAATTCAAAGGAAAAACACCATTTAATGTAATATTTAATATTTAATTTAATATTTAACGAGTTGAATTTAATGTTTATCGTCTCCTCTCTCTCTCTGTCTCTCTGTCTCCTTCTGTCTCTCTCTCTCTCTTGTCTCTGTCTCTGTCTCTCTCTCTGTCTCTCTGTCTCTGCTGTCTCTCTCTCTCTCTGTCTCTCTCTGTCTCTCTCTCTGCTCTGTCCTCTCCTCTCTCATCTCCTCTCCTGTCTCTCTCATCTCTCGATGTCTCCTCTCGTCTCTGTCTTGTCCTCTCCTCTCTCTCTGTCTCTCTCTGTCTCCTGTCTCTCTGTCCTCTCTCCGGTCATCTCCTCTTCCCTGTCTCTCTGTCTCTGTCTCATCTCTTCCTCTCCTGTCTCGTCTCCTCTGTCTCTGGCTCTCCTTCTCCTCTGCTCTCTCCTCCTGTCTCTCTCTCTCTCTAGTCTCTCCTCTGTCTCTCTCTCTGTCCTTGCTCGTCTCGTCTCCTCCTGTCTCTCTCTCTCTCCTTCTTCTCCTCTGTCTCTCTCTCTCTCTGTCTCTCTCTCTCTCTGTCTCTCAATCCCTGTCTCATCTCTCTCTGTCTCTGTTCTCTCCTTCTTCTCTCCGTCTGTCTCTCTTCGTCTCTCTGTTCTCTCATCTCTCGTCTCTGTTCTTCTCCCTCCTCGTGTCTCTCTCTCTGTCTCTGTCTCTCTGTCCTCCTGTCCTCTGTCTCTCCTCTCTCTCTCTCCCGTGTCTTCTCTCTTCCTCCGCTTCTCTTGTCCCTCTGTCTCCTCTCTCCTCTCTCTCTCCCTCTCTCTTCTCTGTCTCTCTGTTCTCTGTCCTCTCTCTCTCTGTCTCTGTCTCTCTCTCCTGTCTCTCTCCCTTCATCTCTCTCTCTCTCTCCCTCCTCTGTCTGTCCCCTGCAGATACGCATCGAGCGGGGCGACCGGCGCTGTGTGTGCGGCCGGAGCGGTCCACTTTGAGGTGGTGCGCCTGCTGTGAGTCACCATGCCAACGTTTAACCAACACCCAACCTTCCACTAAACTCCACCCCGCTGCCGCCGCGCGCCCTGCTTCGACGGCGGCTGGACATCGTCCGCACCTCCTGGTGGAGCAACAACGCCGACATCCAGCATCACAAAAGTACAAACAAACCGACCTGTCTGATTGAAACGCCGCCCTAATAAGGCCAACACGGACGTAGTGAAGTTCCTGCTTGAAGCAGGCCGCGACCCCAACCAAGGCCCACTGCCGGCCCCGCCACCCGCCCGCACTTTGCGGCGGGGCGGGCCATCTGGAGAATCGTATACCTGAGCTGGGTGCGCCTGCCAGAGCCCGGCCATGGTGGTGAACGGACACGGCATGACGCCGCTGAAGGTCGCGGCAGAGAGCTGCAAAGCAGACGTGGTGGAGCTGCTGCTGGCGCACGCCGACTGTGACCCGCGCAGCCGCATCGAGGCCCTGGAGCTGCTGGGCGCCTCGTTCGCCAACGACCGGGAAAACTACGACATCCAGAGGACGTACCAGTACCTGCACATGGCCATGACGGAGCGCCACCGCGACCCCGAGAACATCATCACCAAGGAGCTGCTGCCGCCAATCGAGGCCTACGGCGGGCGCTGTCGATGCCAGACCCCCCCAGAACTGGAGGCCATCCGGGTGGACCGGGACGCTCTGCACATGGAGGGGCTGATGATCCGGGAGCGTATCCTGGGCTCGGACAACATCGACGTGTCACACCCCATCATCTATCGCGGCGCCGTGTACGCCGATAACATGGAGTTTGAACAGTGCATCAAACTGTGGCTTCACGCGCTGCGTCTGCGGCAGAAAGGCAACCGGAACACGCACAAGGACCTGCTGCGCTTCGCCCAGGTGTTCTCGCAGATGGTCCACCTGAAGGAGCAGGTTGTGGCCTCGGCGGTGGAGCAGGTGCTGAGCTGCAGCGTGGTGGAGATTCAGCGAAGCATGGCTCGAGTGGACACGGCGGTCGAATCCGAGCTGCCTCAGGCCATGGACAATTACGAGTCGAATGTTTTCACCTTCCTGTACCTCGCCTGCATCTCCACCAAGACCACCTGCGGCGACGAGGAGCGCGCCCGCATCAACAAACACATCTACAACCTGATCCAGCTGGACCCGCGGTCCCGTGAGGGTTCCTCTCTGCTCCACCTCGCCATCAGCTCCAGCACGCCGGTCGACGACTTCCACACCAACGACGTGTGCAGCTTCCCCAGCGCGCAGGTCACCAAGCTGCTGCTGGACTGCGGTGCGCAGGTCAACGCCGTCGACAACGAGGGCAACACGCCGCTGCACGTCATCGTCCAGTACAACCGGCCCATCAGCGACTTCCTGACGCTGCACGCCATCATCATCAACCTGGTGGAGGCCGGCGCCCACACGGACATGACTAACAAGCAGAAGAAGACGCCGCTGGACAAGAGCACCACCGGCGTGTCGGAGATCCTGCTGAAGACCCAGATGAAGATGAGCCTCAAGTGCCTGGCGGCGCGCGCCGTCCGGCAGCACCAGATCACCTACCGCAACCAGATCCCCAAAACGCTGGAGGAGTTCGTGGAGTTCCACTGAAACGGACCTGAGAGCTGAAGGAATCAAGGACTCTTTGTTGTTTTTAAAGAATTTCTTATAATTTTCTAACGAATCCAAACGGTGCTGAAGGACGACGGTTCAGTACCAAAAGTTTTTGAGCATTTTTATAAAAAAAAAAAAGTGGGTTGCTTTTTTTCTATTTTAAGTATTAATTGTACCAGCAGCGACAGACGGCGGTTGGTCCGTGTCTCCGGCTCACTGCAGAACGTCGCAGCAGAGCGAGGACAGCAGTGACATCACCGCGCCGCTTCTTGTTTTGCCTTACCTCCACGCCGCGGGAGCCGCCATGTGACTGATTCTACAGTCGGAGTGAATGAGCGAGTGAGTGAACGTAGACAGCCGACAGACGACCGACCTCGCCCGCTCTCCACGCCCACAGAGCAGCCGCCACACGCACTGATTATTTTTTTTAACATGAGAAAGGGTTTTCACTGGCTTTAGTTTTTACTGTAACGATGAACCGCTGAGAAACGGGACACACGATCGGACTGCTGGACAGAATCTATACAAACCATCAGGTTTTTAAGTTCGTTATATTTGAAAATATGTTTATTTTAAAGGGTTTGTAGATTTGTTCCGATGCTGCCTAAAATGTGGTTTGTGCACCGATCTGACGCCTCATAATTTATTAGCCCCGAACCGGGTCCCTGCTTCGTCCTCTGCTGGTCTGCAGTATAAGCTTGTTTAAAAAAAACGTATGTCTATCTGTTGTTTAACGGACGTGTATCGGATCGGTCTAGGTTTCGAGAAGGAGAAGGTGGTATCGGAACATTTCTATGTTTTTATGAAAATACTTTTTCTGTGGGCCTGTTTCACTGAAACTACACTACATGGCCCAAAGTGTGCGGACTAACCCGTCCACATACTTTGTACTTTTTGTTGGGTTGGATTTTTCCTGATTTCGGTCCTGTTCTGGACGCAATAATGTTTGTTTGTTTTTTCCGAGGTCGCTCTGATTCTGAGCACCTTGGTGCTAACTGGTGAATCGGCAAAGCGGAACCAGTCAGTGTAACAGAGGGCGCTGCACAACGACCTGTAGAATAATACGCCCAGATCAGAACAGGGCCGGTTCCTAGTTGTTGGATTAGGACTGTGATAGGCTTAACCTAAACCTAACCAACGAAGGCAACGAGGACTAGCCAGTCAGAGCTCGTCATGACTTCGCCACCCTGGGAAAAACAATTTAGCCCACCGGACACCTTACAGTGAGATTTTAGACCTCTGGTACCAAATGTTTTTGGCTTGTGAACCCAATATGTCTGTTGCAAGACTAGATAATAAAAAGGAGACTTTCAGCTACTCAAAGAGTTTAATTTTACCAATATTTAGTGGCTCGAAATAGTAAAAATATCTAGAATTTCACAAGAAAAAAAGTAATTATTAGAGAATGACCATGTGTCCTTCCGGCAATGTGGCAGCAGTTTGTCCCTTTTCTGTTTCAACATACCTGAAAGTGCATCGTCACAAACTGCTCCGTTTTGGAGGTTTATGTTTTTCACAGGACGGGATGGAGGCTGTTGTCACAGCGGTTGTCCACATACTTTTGGCCAGGTAGTGCACTTTTTCTAATCTTTAAAAATACCAACCAAATATTCCCTGAACATGGTACCATTGTTTTGATTCTGTAGATGTAGGCAGATGGGCTTTTAGTTTGAAATGTAAACATAAGAACAGAAACGACGAATGTTCTCCCAGAAATCCACATTTTTAAGTTTGTTTTTTTTAATAAACAGTGAAGTCGGGTTGCAGCAGCTTCAGCTTTGGTCGTCGTGTCTGAAAAACATGAAGGTAGAGGTCTGAACAGGTCCACAGATTCTGTTTAATGGGGTCTGTTGGGTCCTGTTGTGTTGCCAAAGGTTTCAGGTCTGTGAGTCAGTATGTCCAATAACTCTTTATCATCTCTGATCACGTGCTCTCTTCATACACCAGTGACCCTTCATAGGCCCCGCCCCTTTTTGCTCAGTGCTCCAATCACAGTCGACTTCCTTTCCTGTACTTGATAAACTTGCAGTAAATACTCTCTGTGATGGCGAATCCTGATTCAATGTGTGAATATGAGCTTGAACAACACTTGTTTGCGTTGCTGCTCACAGTCTAACTCACTGTTTCCATGGCAACGTTAGATAGACTTTGAACGTGACATTTTCCAAAATACTTGTTTAAAAAAACTTTTATTGATGTTCAAGTAATATTTATTACGTTAAATTAGGGCGCGCCATCGCACAAATGTTCGGCCACAAAGTGCAAGACACGATGAAGTGAGTAGCCAAACATTACGTGAATTATACATTCATACATCAGTTTTGGTCCGTTGCCCGTTATTTAATTAACTAGTTCTGACTTGAGCATGAAATAGAAAGTACGGTAGTCGTTACTTAAATTTCTTTTTGTGTTTGATTCATGAATTAATGACAAAAAAAATCTGTTTTTATTTTCCGATTTTAGTTTATATTTTGAAAATAAGAAAAACAAATGAGAGGATTTCTCAGAATTTAGAAGTGAACTTTCTTTTCACTATTTTTCTACATTTTACAGACAAAAAAAATAACTCCAGAGATTTAAAACAGTGGAAATAATAATTAGCTTGCATTAGCATGTTGTGTGTAACAGACGGACGGATGATGCCGCAGGTGGCTCCTCAACACAAAGAGGGAACATCTGGACCGGATTGTGTTGATTAATCCATCGTCTGAGGCCGAGCTGCTGCTGCAGTAATTAGATTGAAGATCTGTTTTCGTTGTATTTTTGAAGCTGCAGGATCCTCTGAGCTCAGTTTCAGTGTCTTTAAATGAAACACCTGTTGAAGCTGTAGAAGAAAAATGAATCATGGCGTTCGGTTTTCATTAGACGCTGGTGTTGCCGCAGCCGGTGTCGTGATTATCTCGTCATCAGGTGGAGGAAAACTAATTTTAAAGTGTCACACTAATCAATAATCTGTCCAGCAGAGCTCAGAGTTGTTGTTAACCATGTGATCGGGCATTACAGGCGGGCGGGGGGAAGTTCTGCCTGCAGGTTTTAGGGGTTTGGTGTGATGATGATGATGATGATGATGATGTGCCATTCAGAGTGCTAATTTTATTTTTTATTTAACAGCGCGGGAGCGTGTTGATGGAAGTGGGAAGTTTGGCTGAAATGAAGCCAAAGATTCTCTTCTTCATGTGTTGGGGAAACTTTTTAAAAGATGTCAGCTGTGGTGAACTTCCTGCAGAATGAAAGCTTTCAAATTAAAAGTCTTCTGTCTGCATTCACCTGTGTTCTGTTGTTTATTTATGAGTGATTTAGTCTGAATTAAGGGATGAACGAGTACATATTCATGTGTTCATTATCTGTACTCAGAATGGGCGGGGCTAACTATAAGTTGTTTAATTAAGGCTGAAACTGATCAATGGGTTAATCAGAAGTATTTATAGGGAAAATAGTTACAGCCTTATTGAACTTCTGAGGAATGTTTCTGATCATAATAGAGAAATATTTATTAAATGTAATATCTCTGATGAAGTTCATCATCTGATACTTGTACAGATGTTTTTGTTAGTAACTTAAAGCATTTTTCCAGGTTTGTGGACTTCGACTTCGTGCACATATGTGTTGGTGGGTTTGTGGTTCCTCCCCCAAGAAAATGTATATTTTTTAACACAAATTACCATATCTTTGAACAAAAGTGGGAAAAACGAGGGTAGATAATAAAAAAAGCTTTAAGCTGTCTCAGAGCACACGCACATGAAGGTTGATGTTCATGGTTACCACATAATAATAATTTATTCTTATTGTAGCTAACCGGTTCCTCTTCTGCTACCTTCAGTACAAAAAATTCCCTCCACTGAAACTTGTGTTCACGACAAGTTGTGGCCCAAAACTTCTTTGTTTAATTAATAAAGTGGATATTCACTCTCCCGAGAGCCCTGCGATACACAAATTCTTCGCTCAAAATGCTCATAAAATGCAGAGGCAGTGGGTTCGAATCCGACCTGTGGCCCTTTCCTGTCTATCTTCAACCGTCCCATCTAATAAAGTAAAAAAGCCCCCAAAAAGTCAAGTCTTTGCGTTGACATCACACAAAAACATTTGCTCAAGCAGCGGTCTCTCCGGCCCTCCCCACATAGAACTGCGAAAGCCCCACGAATTTCAATTTGTGTCTTTGCGTTGACTTTGGATGTTATCTCATCGTCCAAAAGATTCTCTTAACTTTCTGCACCATGACGAGGCGACTGCTGTGAATTCATCACATTCTTCAGTCAGGGGATGAAACTGTCTGGTTTTTACAAACTGAACTTTTATCAGAACTCAACTTCAGTGAAGTTTTCTGATCACATTGACTCACTTGGAGGAATAAACCATTGTCCTTAACATGCAGTCGCCGTCTCTCTTCACAACAAACTCAAAGTGACAAGGTCAGGTCTCGTCTGCGTGAGCAGAAAGAACTAGTTGAAGACTAGTTCCCTAAAAGTGAAACATTTAATCACAAAAAGAGTCTTTATTCCAATATGAACACAAATAGTGAACAAGGTGTACATCCACTGTAGAAACTCTACTGCAGAAACAATAATGCCACTATCCTTATTAATTCATACACAAGTTTATATTTACAAAAAAGTTCAAGTTTGACTTTATACAAAAAAAAGTGCATCAGATATAAATTTAGAAATAATATACAATATGTGTTCGTAAGATGCATTTACAATTTCCATTAGTGTAAAAGAGGAAAATCAGCCGTAGGTAGTCTCGTGTTGTCTCTTATTGTCCTCAGACACAGTGTAAAAGACACTTTATCACTTTTATTTTAACAGGTCTTATTTTTCTTTTCTTATGAAATCGCATCAATAAACTGCAAACATCATGACATGATCATAAGGTTGGACAGGGAGTTTAATGCAGATTATTTTAACAGAACGTCAGCCGCAAAATCGGTAGGTATATAAATTGTGTCCAGATCTACGAAAAAGCCTCTTATATCGTAAACCCAACAGGAAGTCAGCCTTTTTGATTTATTGTCCAAGTTGTTTGCAGTTTTTGTCATTTTCATGTGCTGTATTTTAACAAACTCCTGGGGAATTAATTGGATCGACTTGTGGTTTCAGTGCAATCTAAAGACATTCATGATGAAAACATAATTGCTTCGTGGTGTTGGCTGATGG